TTGCGAAAAAAGGGGCAGTGTAGACGCTCCTTCTTGCGCAAGAGCCTCTTCTGAAAAAAATGGTGGCTCGTTAGGTATGCAAATGAGGCTCAGCGATATTCCACGCTTAGCCTCATTTGCATATTTCTGGTGCAAGAATCCACCAGTGTAGACATAGCCTCTGAGTTGTAGCATACTTCTCACACTCCCAAGGGATGGAGAGGCTGCAGAAGGGTGGGGACATAAAGGCCACAAGGTCTCAGCCTGTCACTTAAGCCCAAATCTTATCCCCAAAATCCAGGTCTTTTACTGTGGGAATTGTTAATTTAATCCTTTTATCTGCACTGGAAAGTGGTTGCAAGGCGTGCGGAGTTAACAACCCCGCCAAAATACCTGTTTTAAGTACTGAGCGCTTTCCTACTTAACACACTGTAGCTTGACCTCTGCCACTTGGCCTAGGCTATGCGAGAGAAATTTGATTCCTGATCTCTCAAATGGGCAATTAGCTAGATCAACAGCATCTGTCAGGCCAGGTTCACATTCCTAGTTCAGGGTACATAGGGTGGAACTTCTGGAGTGGAGCTGAAAGATGCTCCACATGGTTACATCCAGAGAGCTGGGGAATGCTATCCTCCCATTTGGTCAGTGGGCGCCAGAGACTCCCAGGGCAGGACATGCCTGGTGTCCCTCAACAAGTATCCTCCCTCTCTGTTAGTTCCATCATTCCCTCCCCCCCACCGCCCCATTGGAGCAGATGGCGGGCATTTAGCTGAATGAGTTGCCCACCTTTTGCTACAGAACATTGGAACACCAGGCTACCTCAGTCATAGCCTTGTGCTCCCATGGCTGGCAGTATTTTAATCAGAGCAGTTCTAACTCTCAGCTCTCCCTTTTGTTTGTAAATGGTAAAGGTGCCAGCAGCCCTGCAGTGGCTGAGAGAGAGCCCAGAGTGCCTGCTGCTTCACCACAATACATGCTAATCCCCCGCTTTGTTGTTTGGCATAGGGAAAAAGTCCCACCTGTAGACTTGCCTGCATCTCTGATCCCTACAGTTTGTGAAAGCTTCTGTATTCTCTTCCTGAACACTGCCCCTATTTAATTACCACCCCTGAAATCCCTATAATTATGGAATTCAAACCTGGGACAAAGGTTTCCTTCTGTCATTCAGGTGAGCTCTCTGTAGATGTCAGTTCATGTCCAGATCTCCTCCCTATGGCTCAATGACTGAATAATGAGCTTTCAGGGGGGTTTTTTCCTCCAGGGACAATTGTAGACAGCAATGTCCCCGCCCCAAGCCAAGGAGAAAAAGGTCAACAGGTGACAAAGGTAGAAGTGGAAGCAGGTAGTTGGTTTGGAAGGTATTATTAAAAGCTAATAAGCTATAATTATATTGTTTGAACAGTAATTCCAGTGTTTCCTTCTACCTGTTATAGGTCCTGGAGTGCTGTGGGCTAGTTTTTGTTTAGGGTTTAGAGGGAATGTTTTAAGCAAGATAAAAAAGATATTTTAGATTCTCAGTTTTACTTTCATGTAATACACATTTGCATTGCATTTCTCACTTCTGCATTTCAGTATGAATTGAATTAGGTTGGAGGGGTCATAAATGAAATTCAGAATAACTTTTTTCCCAACTTGGGCTTCCTGGTGATCGTTTGTTTAACTGTAAGCAATTTGTGCACGCACAGCAATAGCAGTGCTGACGTGTTCCTGTCTCTGTTAAGAATCCGTTTCTATTATAGACTTAGAGACATGGGGTCACATTTCGTGCTGATTTTCACCCTATGCAATCCAGAATTTGGTCCCTTGATTTCTAGAGGTGGGTGAGGTTATGACTTGACTCACTTCATATTGTAACTCTCAGTCCCCAGGCAATCCACCCAGCATTTGGATTTAGAGGGGATTTTTAAAATGTTTTTCTTACATGTGAAATTTTATTTGTTTTTAATTTACTTAGCAAAAAAAGTTCACAGGCATTTGTGGCATGTGCTGTGTGAATACAGTTCCCAGGACATTGTAGGGAGCTGAGAGTCCTGGATCAAGGGGAATGTGGAGTGGCGTTTTTTCGGCTGAATAGTATTAGCAGATTATTTAGCATACTGCACACAACTATGTTTAAAAGAATATTATGATTGCAAAGGCAATCAAACAAAAGTTAGGAAATTCCACTGTAGCTGCCAGAGAACCAGCAGAAGTCGGTTTCCATCTTCTATAGGGAGAGACACTAATTGGAGATGAGATTCGTTTTGTCAGTGCATGTCACAGGTATTTGTTGACAGCAGAGGTGTTGTGAGTTCCAGTCCCAGGCTCTGGAGAGGAGAGTGCTGCGATAGCCACAGAAACCTTCTTTCTGTTCTCGCCAAACTTGATCCTTCCACTCAATCTCCTTTAATCTTCCCCATCTTGTCTTTTGGCCACCCTTGTCTCCTAAACCCCGGCCCGTTCTCCTCTCCTATCTAGTCCTGCTCCCCATCCTAATGCTTCTCATTCCAATACTCATCTCCTTGCCCATATTGTCCTAGTTTCTCCTCCAGGCTCCTTCCAGCCCCTCAGTTCTTTGTTCTAGTAGCCCAGCCATTCCAGTCTTCTCTCCCCAAGCGCCTCATCTGGTCTGTTTCACTCATTTCCTCACTCTCCCCGCCTTTGCTCCCCATCCTGGCTTCTTGCCCTTATCTCCTTACTCAGCCAGTACCAGTCTCCCCACTCATGCTTCTTACCTGAATTTGGTCCCCCTGGCTCCCAGTCTCTTTACCCAGCCAATCCCAATCATGACTGTTAAAAGTTTTGTAACTGATTTCAATAGGAGCAACACTTGATCCCATGCAATCCCATGTAACAATACCTAGCTCCGACGGGTAGCAGTTTTCATGAGTAGATCTCAGAGTGCTTTGCAAAAGGGGTCAGTGTCATGAGATCAGAGATTAGGAGGTGTGTGCCGGAGGAAGCAAATGAAGAAGTTGGTTAGCAACAACCTCAAGCTTTGTGTTCCTCTGTCTGGGTCTATGTTTTTCATCTGTCCCCCATCTTTATAATCGGCCAAACCAAACCTTTAATATCAAATACTACCAAATATCGGAAAACTTCAGATCCAAACTTGGCAGCTTTCAGTATAAAAATCTTTCTGATTACGGAGCTTTCTGATGTTAATTTCTCTCAGATCCACACTAATGTCGATGCTTAAACCTAAACTGAAATGTTATTTTAAAATGAATGACATGAATAGTATAAATGGTTCTGTGTGTATGTGTGCAGACGTATACACATTGGAATCAAGGTAAAAGGCAGTGGTGCTTGGGTTTTTTGATCTGGTTCACAAAGCATGTCTGTGTTCTTATGTTTGTTTAGTTTAGAAAAGAGAAGATTGAGGGGGGACATGATAGCAGTTTTCAGGTATCTAAAAAGGTGTCATAAGGAAGAGGGAGAAAACTTGGCCTCTGAGGATAGAACAAGAAGCAATGGGCTTAAACTGCAGCAAAGGAGGTTTAGGTTGGACATTAGGAAAAAGTTCCTAACTGTCAGGGTAGTCAAACACTGGAATAAGTTGCCCAGGGAGGTTGTGGAATCTCCATCTCTGGAGATATTTAAGAGTAGGTTAGATAAATGTCTATCAGGGATGGTCTAGACAGTATTTGGTCCTGCCATGAGTGCAGGGGATTGGATTCGATGACCTCTCGAGGTCCCTTCCAGTCCTAGTATTCTGTGATAATAATGTGTAAACTGGATATGTTGTACCATCTATCACTATTCGCAGATGTGTACACTAGATAGAAGGGCTTGCTTTTTAAAATCCACCTCTAATTTTATGTAATTAGAACTGGCAACAAAAGCTAGAATCTAGATTTCTGTCTGATTGTGCTTGAAAATCAATCGTGTAGATGTCTAACGTTAGCATTTGCACCCACATTTAATTATGCTAAAAAAACTGGAGGGCCTAATTGAGTCCCCTTTCAAAATTTGGCCTCAGAATTACAAAGGTCTGGTGTTGTAAATAAATGTACCTGCAAAATAAACCTCCTTCTTTTTTGTAATGCAAAGATGTAAATTTGAATTTTTGTGTTTCCTAGGTACATTTGTTGATAGTCTTAACACCTAGAGCTGTGTAAGGAATGCAGCTTCACGCATTGCTGTTGGTTGTAAATTAGGTCATCAACTGTAGTAGGACAAACCTGAAACATAGGTCCTGGCATGTAAAGCAATTCAAGTCATGGCAGGTCAAGAAGATTCTGAGTTCATCTCTAAGTAAGAGATTTATTTTGAATTGTAATGCTCTTTTTCATTCCTACAGACGCAGTAAATACAGTAAGGCTAAACAAGAGGCAGATGAGGAGAAACATTTGAATCAAGGTAAAAGGCAGTGGTGCTTGGGTTTTTTGATCTGGTTCACAAAGCATGTCTGTGTTCTTATGCTCAGAAAATAAAGAATGACATTCCTCCTGAGATGAATATTTCACTGTTTGCAAACCTCTTCTGCCAAAACAAAGCATCCGAGTAGTAGGGAAACTTTGAATGGCAAGCTTTCTTCAAAAAAAGATTTTGGGGGAGATTTTTATGCTGTCATCCTGTTTCCTCCCCTCCCCCCCATTATTCCATCCCACTCAAAAGTTTGAGTGACCTCTGCTTTTGGCTGAAGATAATGGACATGCTTTTCTTCCCATTATGTGTCAAGGATGCTTCAGGATGGGCCCAATAGAGGTTCTTAAGAGGAAATGTGAGCAGTGTTCTCTGTAAGCGGTGTGCTTGTGTGGCCACTCAGGAAACATTCAGATGTCACCCTGTTGATTAACAGAGCAGCACAGCAAGGCTTTTTTGTTTCTACTGCTGATCCACATTCACTTGTGCCACGGTGCACATAAAAACTTATTCCACACATGGATTGGAAAAAAAATCTGCACTTGGACGGCACTGTACCATAGGTATAATGTCAGTGACTGAACATGCTGTTGTTTCCAGCTTTATTGAAGGCTTAGGCATAGGGTCTGAGCTCAGAACTTCCATGGCCCAAAAGTGGCAGGAATGTGTAGCTTATTCTCTGCAGGCGTGTCTACACAACAGACTTCAGTTGACCTATGCTAGATTGAATTACAGCCACCACAGTAATTACTGTGGTGGCTGATGTCCACACTCCTGACCTTCAATCCATGGTGGTCCTGCCACCGCTGAAGAGGGGCAGCATGAGGTTGGGAGTCAGGGCTCTCAGCTCCACATAGGAGCCCAGATACTGTATTCTTGGCTCCCCATATTCCACCAGGAGCAAGGGGGATAGCCACTCAAGGCTTTTTGGCTCTCAGAGTAGGGAGTTGAGTAGGCACAAGATGGGTGGGAGCAGGGAGCCAGGGCAGCAAGACTTTAGGTTAATATCATGCCTCCAGCTAATGTAAACAATATAGTGTATGTCTAGACTACATCCCTCTGTCGCCAGAGGGATGTAAATTAGACATGCCGAAATTGCTAATGAAGCGGGGATTTAAATATCCTGCACTTCATTTGACTAGAAATGGCTGCTGATTTTACCGCACTTTGCCAGCAAAAAACGGCAGTCTAGACAGGGATCAATGTACAAGGAAAGCCTTTTCTGACTGATCCCTTATGCCTCCTGCAACGAGGATTACAGGATCAGTCGGAAAAGGCTTTCCATCTAGACTGCCGTTTTTTGCTGGCAAAGTGCGGTAAAAAGCAGCAGCCATTTCTAGTCAAATGAAGTGCAGGATATTTAAATCCCCGCAATTTAAATCCCCGATATTTAAATCCCCTAGCAATTTCGATATGTCTAATTTACATCCCTCTGGCGACAGAAGGATGTAGTCTAGACATACCCATATTGTCTACATCAGGGGTGGGCAATAATTTTTGGTGGGAGGCCACCCCAAAATTTTGGAATGTGGTGAAGGGCCGCACTTTTCTGTGGAGGGGGTGCAGGGTTTAGGATGGAGGTTGGGCGCAGAAGGGTGCATGGAGTCAGGGACTGGGGTGCAGAAGCCAGTGTGAAGTCTGAGAGGAAGTTTGGGCAAAGTAGGGGGTTGTGACGGGTCAGGGGATAGGAGTCTAGGAGCAGGGAGGGGGGGGTATGGATGTAGGAGAGGATTCTGGCCTAGGAGAGGAGTACTAAGAGGGAGTGCAAAGTCTGGAAGGGAGCTGTGACCTGGGAGAAGGGGAAAAGGAGGTGTAGACTACAGAGGGTGTGGGTGGAGTCTAGGGGCAGGGGAATGGGGTGCAGAGTTTGGGAGGGTGTTTGTGTGCAGGAGAGGATTCTGGCCTGGGAGAGGAATGTTGGAGGGGGTAAGGAATCTGGGACAGAGTTGTAACCTGGGGCAGGGAGGTGCAGAAGATTTGGATGGCGACCAGGGGAGGGAGTTGGGGTGCAGGAGTGGCTGGAATGCCAGAAGCAGGCTCTGGCTGGGAGGCACTTGCCTAAGCCAGCAGCACCCCCAAGGCAGGCTGGGCTCCCTGCCTGCTGCAGCCCCAAATCACTTAAAACTGCACGCTGCAAACTCCATGTGGCTCTCAGCTCTGGGATGGGGAAGAGACTTGCACTGCTTCCGTTCTCCAGGCCTGGTGAATCTTTACTGGACACTTTCATTGCTGTTGCATACCTTTACGGATTTGCTCTTTGTATGTTCTCTGCTCAGCAGCATGTAGATCAGATACATCAAATAAAGCATTTTTGTCTTGCAGGTGTGAGAACATATGTGGATCCTTTCACATATGAGGATCCAAACCAAGCTGTGCGGGAATTTGCCAAAGAAATCGATGCCTCCTGTATAAAGATTGAAAAAGTCATAGGTGTGGGTAAGTCTTGGGACATCTGTGTTCATGTTGGAAACCTGTTTTCGTAATACATATCTTTCGCTGATGTTTAGGTACCTTGAGATCTAACTATTGTTAGTATAACAACTTCCTAAAACAGGACTTTTCAGAAAATCATTAACAATTACTTTTTGGCTACAGAGGGTCATGTGTTACATATTTATGGCTAATTGTTCATTTGGTCTTTTTCCTTAAGGTGAATTTGGTGAAGTGTGCAGTGGGCGTCTCAAAGTACCAGGGAAGAGAGAGATCTGTGTTGCTATCAAGACTCTAAAAGCAGGATACACTGACAAACAGAGGAGGGACTTTTTAAGTGAAGCCAGCATCATGGGACAATTTGACCACCCCAACATTATACATTTGGAAGGCGTAGTTACCAAATGTAAGTAGGTTATTTCTGTGACAAAGCCAATTTGGAAGCCATCAGGAAATTAAATCTGTATATTTTTTTGCCCTGTTAAGTGACAGATGGGAGTAGACCCACTGATAGCTAGTAGGAGGAAATCAGTGCAGGACAAGTCATTAATCTTGTTGTCAGCTATAAATGGGTTTATAGTTTCAACTGATATTCTATCTGCAGGCAGCTTGTGCACAATTTTGTAGGGGGAATTAATATTGCAGTTTTTTTGGCATGCTAGGAAGGGACTCTTTCAACCCTTTGCTAGACTGAGTTGCTTGTTACAAGATAGGCAAAGGCAGATGGTAAGCAAAGGATTTTAAATATTTAGAAATATCAAAACAAAACTATATTGTCTGTGTGCTTTGAAGTACAAGGCATAGCTGAGAGGAGCAGGTCTTTGAAATAAAGTAGTCTTTATTTTAGTATGAGGCTTGCTTACATGCTGTCTCTGTTTTATGACTGTGATAGCTTTGCTTCCATTTACAGTAACACCTGGTCGATCATTTTCTTTAAAGCCTGTTAGCTTAGTCCATGAATTCTGTCTCACTAAGAATCTGATGGAGCTCAACAGATGCTGTTTCCAAGCCAGAACTGAAACACACCTGCAAGACTCCTGTGGGTCTGACTTCATAAAGTACCACTTAGACTGTATAGTGGAGGAGGGTACTGTTTAACATGGCTGTGCTCCAAATACAATGCATAGCACAGTTGCAGAACATGTTGCAGAATGCTAAAAGTAGAGGGTTCTTTAGATTTAGGGGGTTCATTTTCAGGGCAGTGTAGGGAGCAGAACAAACCCTCTGCATCAGTTGTTGTGAGTGGATGGGGTTTCTGCATCCAACCCTTCACACAGCAATGAGAATGCATGGTGTTTAATTCAGATGATCTCTGATTATTGACATAAAGTGGCTGAGTAAAGTCAAGGTGGTAGAGTTCATCTCTTTTAAAGAACTAACATTAGAAGTGAGCTAAAGTGTGGAAAAAATCAGTGACAATAATTTCATTTAGGGGAGATCTCAGATGCTTAGTCCCTCTCGAATGCCAAATGGGAGTTGGATTCCTAATTCTCCCATTTGTGCCTTTGAAACTCTCTCCTTTATATCCTTGAATCCCCCCTTAGAATGTGCATGTTTTTAGCAGTGATTGGAAATGTAATTAGTATAGAATGTCATTGTATTCTTTTAAATGCAAGTTCCACAAAGAAAAAGAAGTCTTGAGACTGCTATTGCTTATGGCTTACCAGTACCTCCCTGAGTACTTCAATTCAAAGATAATATTATAATTAAATAACTTTGCAGTTCTGTGGCCTTTTTTTTTTTAAAAAAAAGGCGGCGGGGGGTCTGAGTATGTGGTGATGTGTTTGCTACAGACAGTGGTTTTCATAGCACTTCTAGAAAAGAGAGGAGCAATAGGGGGATCTTTGTGTTGGAATCCCACTGAGGCTGTAAAACCCCTTAGCTAGTACAGCTGTAACAGTTATAAATGACTGGTGCGATTTGCATAATGCATTTCTCACCGAATTAAAATGATTTAACATTTTCGTGAAGGAGGTGGTAGGCTGACCTGGATGCATCCTGTCATCTGGCTCCCAGGAAGCAATGTTTCTGTTACAAACCAGCTCCGGCACCTCAAAGCTGTTGCTTTTTGGTAACGGGAGCTACCTAAGAAGACATTCATCTCAATTGCTCATGTAGGTTTTTTGAACATGTTGATAAATTAATGCATTTAACAAACTGAAAACTAAAATGGAAGATGAATTGTGGCAGGGGAGCAGTGGGGGGCGGCTGGGAGAGAGGAAGCAGGGAAGTATGAATGCATTATTGGCCGCTAGTCAAGTACTTTCATAATTGACTAGATGATGGTAACTTGCTCCCTCCCCAGCCTCGCTCACCCCCTCCCTCTTCCCCACTCTCAAGCAGCGGCTGAGTAATGGAATTATGTGTTAATGCACTGAAGGAGAGTCTCCCTTTCTTTTAAGTTGATAAAGTGCATTTTGATTGAGGGAGGTTAATTAAAACTCATTTAGATGTATTTGTTCTGTCGAACGACCAGGTCACAGTTGCAAAGGGTAAATGAAATGGGGAAATATGCAGATGGGATTAGAGCAGTTTCCATTCTTATTGATGAATTCTCAGGCAGGTGAATTTTCCTGCTTGGAGAAGGAGGGGGAGTAATCCCAGCCTTTTCCTGGAAGAATCAAATATTCAGCCAAGGCTTTTTTGATCACACACATCTAATTGTTTTGCTCAAGGCTTACCTTTTGTTCATGCAAATCAGATCAGTAGGTATCCAGCTGCCTGACTATTTCACACACATGCTGGTTTGCATGAGCAAATGTGGCGTGTGATCATGATGCCAAGGGTTTTTGGCATTGGCTGAAATGGTAGGCAAATCAGGAATAGCAGGCTGTGTCTACACAAACAGGTATTTTAGTGGCATAATTATGGTACTGAAGTTATGCTAGTGTTAACCCCATGGTGCAGACACATCAATGGAAAGGGGTTTCTCAGTGCTGTAGGAACACCACGTTCCCGGGGAACATTAGCCAGATTGATGGAAGCATTCTTGCATCACCTAGCAGCATTTACATGTCCAGGAGGGAGCTAGGTTGGCATAGCTACAGTGCTCAGGGGGTGTGGATTTTTCACACCTCTGGCAGAATTACAAGGAGAGGCATTCTGGTGAGTGAAAAATGCACTGATGTAGAAATAATTATGGGAGCTTTTCAGTGCTAAAATATTTCACAGATGGCCAGTTTTAATAGTCGATTGTTCTGAGCAGATACCGCTGGTGACTGGAGCAAGGAAAAGTTGAGTGTTTTTGCCAGCTCAGCTCTATCTTTATATCGAAGATGTCTGCTATTTAGGTCGCAGATTGGTTGAACCCTCTCTCTCATGCCTGTAAAATTCCCTTGTTTGAAGCCGTTTTTGTCAGTATACAAATGTGATCCCCTTTTTTTTTGAAAGAAGAAGCAATGTTGTCCAATGGTTAGAGCTGAGAACTAGGAGAAATGAGTCCTGGCTTCCCGTTCCTGACTGCCACTTACATGGAGTCTGATCCTGCAAGGAGCTGAGCACTCCCAAGTCTCTGACTTCAGAGGGAGCTGAGCTCCTCGTAGAATTCACACAGTGTCTCACTGGACAGGGCGCTTGCTGTTTAACAGTTGGCAATCACTTAATCCCTTTATGCCTATCATTGCACATCAGGAGTAATTAGATTGGCCTCAATCCTTCAAACACAGATTCTGAACATGAAGCAGGCTTAGTACATTGAAAGCACTGGGGTTTCTCACATGCAGGATCAGAGCCAGATAGTTTTGAATGACCAGCATCATATGTGCACATTTGTTCATCATTACTATTGTTTTCATTGTGAGAGAGGCCTTTTTTTTTAAAGTCATCAGCTTATGTCAGGAACACATTATTTCTTTTTACAACTCTTAAAGTTCATTTCCCCTATTGCACTATGTAAAGATGAGAGCTGCTACTGCGTCTGACCCCATATTTGACACAACTCACTGAATCGTTTATTTTATGAGGAAAATGGAGAAGGCCCATTTAGAAATAGCAAGATATACAAAATACAGATTCTGTACTGAGAAAGTCGGGGGGGGGGAGGGGATATTTTGCATGCTCAAAATACAGATTCTGTACTGAGAAAGTCGGGGGGTGGGGGGAGGGGATATTTTGCATGCTCTGAATCTCAAGCTGCTTCTAAATACCTTGTAGTTGCTAACACCTTTCCACTCCCCTGAAGCTTTCTTTTTTTTTAAAGAAGGGAAAGGATCCAAGTGCTCACTGAGTCTGCTTCTAATGAAAATGCATGTTCTAGCAAAGAATTTGATTTATCCTAACCATTTTTCAAGTTTGAAAAGTTCTATTTGGTCACCTCACCCCATCCTCTTTTTCTTCTTTACCAGGCAATTATCCATTCATAGGTTCCCTGGAGACCCTGCGCCACTTTAGTTAAAGACCTTGTCGACAAGTCCCCTAAAGCGTTAACCTTCCAGATGGAGCCCTTAAATGTTCTCGTCCCATAATATTTCTTTTCAAGCTCCCTACAGCTGAGGCATAAGCGTGGTGCTTTTAAAATTAAATTAGATTGTGCAAGACAGGTGTCTTGGCAGTAAAATCATGTGCAGCCCATTTTTATCTCATTAGCATTGGTGTTCATCAAGGAATTGTGTTTTTCTTTCTGCAAACTCTAGGTAAACCGGTAATGATCATAACTGAGTACATGGAGAATGGTTCCTTGGATGCCTTCCTCAGGGTAAGTGATTGTTTTACAATAAACCTAAAGAGGTTGTACATGATTCCTTGTTTGAGTTCTAATTGGTAGAGAGATACAGAAGAATATAAACCTACAAATATTTGTGCTTGGGAAATGCTTTTTGATATCTTTGTCTACTGCTCCCAGTAGCTGGTGGAGGGATACAGAGTAGATGTAACATTTGAAATGTAGGCTCTTAAATAATCCATGTTTAATAGGGAGCAGTTTTGATTTATTCCATTTTTGAAAGCCTCGCAATGCTGTAGATTCATTAAAACTGGATATATTCCATACATCACAGGAGGCAGTGACAAAACCTCTAGGTTTGTACTTTACTGGTGAATTATAGACACTAGTCAGGAGGGTGAGGAAATAACATTGCATTTCATTTCAAACAAGATGAAGATCTAGAGGTGTGCTCTTTGCCAGCTTCAGCTGTGGCAATAATGTAGCTTTTAGCTTAATGCTATGTGATTTTTTTTTTTAACCCTTCCCCATCTGCAGAAAAATGATGGCAGATTTACAGTAATCCAGTTGGTGGGAATGCTTCGTGGCATTGGCTCTGGAATGAAGTATCTGTCTGATATGAGCTATGTTCATCGGGATCTAGCTGCCCGAAATATACTAGTCAATAGCAACTTGGTCTGCAAGGTGTCTGACTTTGGCATGTCCCGTGTTCTGGAAGATGATCCTGAAGCAGCCTATACAACTAGGGTAAGCCATGAAAGGGCCCTTTTCTCCCTACCAGCTGGTTTTGGTTTTTATTTTTGTTTTGTTTTAAAATAATATCAGGCACATGTGAAACCCTGTTTCATTACATAAAAATGTACCCCAAGCCAATATCTCAGCCCGTGTAAATCCTTGTAGATCCATTGAGTTTGGCGCAGCTACATTTATATACCTCTCTTAGGTTCTGGACCATAGTCTTCATTAGATTTCTTCAGTGCGCTAGGAATTGGTGACCGGAGTTTAAGATTAGGCGTTAGCATTTTGGATCCTAATCCTGCTTGTGGAAGTGCTTAATTTTGTGCATGTAGATAGTCCATAGAATTTATTGGTATTACTCACATGTGCATATATAGCAGTGTGCCTATATTTTGCAAGATTTGGGCCTTGATTACCTGGACAGCCTGTTCTGCCCCTAAAGTGGATTTTGTTCTAATTGTGATTAAAAAACTTCTCCAACACTTAAGCATTTTATGCCATAAATGCCTGATCAATTATAAAAGACTATTTATACTATGAAGAATTTCTATTAATTGCTGATAGTATATGAATTAATATTTAATTATGAATAAATGGGGAGTTGATATGTAATTCCATTAGACTTTTAACTGCACAGTGCTACTAATTTTGCTATCCTAGTATTCTGCATGTAAAATGTTAATGATACCAACACTGCTGTTCATAAGCAGTATTCTGACCATTGCAAGCACTTTTGAAATTAACATGCACCAGGAAAAAAGTTAGAGATTTTTTAAAGTCTTTTTTTTAATTGCTTGTTGTTTCATTTTAAAATATCTGCCATTCTCCATCTGTTCTCCTGACCACTGAGATTGTCTGTATTACTCAATTTTTGTGGTTTAATCCCTATACTCATCCTTAATGAATTCACAGTTCATTGTGGGAAAAGATAGCCTCATGTAGTTGTAAATGCTGGCCAACCCTGGTATTTCCCACTAATAAGGGTGGTGAGAGAGAGAGAGGCTGAAACAGAGGTCTGGAAAGCTGTATTCAAGCAAATAAAAGTATAGATAAGTATACAGGGCAAGACAGAAACTATTGAAAAGCCTCCTTTTGAATTACGTGAGGGCAAATATAGTACTCTTGTTTTCTCTGAGTAAACTGCAGTGAATCAGTGTAATTTACATTACAGTACATTGTCTTCTTTTAGTATCAGTAATGAAGTGCCAGGAACATTTGGATGAGCTCCACTGTACTCAAGCAGCTTAAAAAAATGAGTTGAGCGTACTAACAATTTTTAAAATAACAAGCACATATAAGTCATGTCCATACATCTGTGTTTGACAGAAGACGGGTATTTGCTTCATGGTCAGAAATAGGACAGTGAAGTGGTTTAGAAAAAAGCACTTGTCCGATCTTAACAGAATTATTCTGTTCCCCATGAATATTCTAACTCATGAAAGTGACAGCATCCGAAAGGACTAGTAACAAACAAGAAAGACACACTAATGCATATGTGCTTTCACAAAAGGTTTATCTAAAATCCTTTGAAGTCCATGGAAAAATTCCCATTGCTTTCCATGGAGCCTGGAATTGCCCCATACAGAACATTTGACCAACAGACAAAGGACAATAAACTATCAGCCAGGTAAACAGAGACAAAGGATAAGCAGTCACGAACAGAAAATATCTCCAAAAACTGCAAAGAAGAAAACTGGACAACATAAATTATAACAAAGAAGATAAAGCATCTTTGTTCGACTTTCAGTAATGTTCCCAGATGGGACTGCAGGAAACTTAAAGCTCAATTAAAAACACCTTGTGCATTAGCATAAACAAAAGGAGAAATCTCTGGCATAGCATCACTCAAGGCAAAATCAGATAAACAGCATACAGTTCTTTTAAAAACATTACCTAACTCCATTGGCCCCATTCAAGTGCCCAAGCATTTTTATTTGTGTGTATTTTTAATAAAAGTGGTCTTGTTATGTGATACTATACATAACTGTTCCTATACTTATTATAGCAGCCTGGAAGCTGATTTACTATACCTCTGAGTTACAGCTTCCCAGCTGAATTTCTCTTTATTTTGCTATTCTGAAAAAACGTCTGTAACCTCCCCCCTTTTTTTGGAGCTGGGACAAGTAGGTCAGACGGGCAAGCAAGGAAACAGTCAAGCCCCTGCACTAACAGTGTGTACTTAATTTGTTTTGTATACTAATCCTTTAATATATGCTTTATAAACTCCTGGCTTTTTCCCATGCTCAGTGTAGCCCTAAGCAGAAATCTGGCAATGGGCTGATAAAAATACATTTTAACAATTTACTTATTTGCATCCCTGTGACTAAAGAAAACAGATGGATGGCATCTGTCTATAGAGTTCTGTCTTGCAGTTTGGAGCTAGTGATATGGAATAGAGACATCCACATGAAACATCTGTCCAGTAGCTTACCAACCTTGGTCTATTCCACTTTTAACAGGGTGGCAAAATTCCTATCAGGTGGACTGCACCGGAAGCGATTGCCTATCGTAAATTTACCTCAGCTAGTGATGTGTGGAGCTATGGCATTGTAATGTGGGAAGTGATGTCTTATGGAGAGAGACCTTACTGGGATATGTCCAATCAAGATGTGAGTTTCTTTCTGATGTTTTCCTTTTCCTTCCTCTTTGTTTCAATTTTTCGTCTTTCCTAGTATGTTGGTTCCCAAATGTTGCAGAAGATCAGCATGGGTGGACTCTTGTGCCCAAAGCGTGTCCCCTTGCAAGAGCAGGCCCTTCAGATAAATTTTCCATATTGTGTCAGATCATTGCTTCATCGAGTCATGTGTTCTGTGTCCAGATGTGACCTGTAACTGACCTATTTTTTTCATCTGTTGCAAGTGTTGTATGAAGTTGAGCTGTGCTGGGTTTTGGACTTAAATGAGGCACACTTCTGAAACTGATTGGGTGATTTCCAGAAAACATGGTAACCCTGATCCAAAAAAGGACCCTTATTTAGGAAGGCACCTAAGCAAGTTTTTAGGTCCCAACTTAGCCACATGTTTAACATGAAATATGTGCTTAATTGTTCTCTTGAATTGAAGTCTATGTTTTATATATTGGATCTTCTTTTATGCTTCTGCAATGTGTTATAGTTTCTACAACAATATAAACAAGTTTAAAAGGAAATAGAAGAGTGAGGAGTGGTGTTGAAATATTAATACATGCTCATTTAAAGAATTTCAGAAATGATAAAAAGAAATAGAATATATGAATACAGGTCAAACCTCCCTTGTCTGGCATCCTCGGGACCTGAGTGGTCCCGAACCACAAAGTTTGACGGACAAGGGAAGGCCAAGACTCCCTACCAGCTACAGGCTATGTCCCGGCTCGGGGTGCACTCCCTGCAACTGCCTCCACCCGCCCACTGTGCCAGCCCTGACCAGGGCTGCAACCCACATTGTGCCAGACCAGGACAGGGAACGGCCCCCGTGCCTCTAGCCCTAGCGGGGGATGCGCTCTCCACGGCACTGGTCCAGGTTGCATGCCCAGCTGCCAGCCCCGCTGACTCCAGCCCTGGCCGGGGCTGCGCTCTCCACCACTAGCCCCAGCCAGGACTGCGCTCCTGAGTGCCGACCATGGTGCCGCCAACTCCAGCTGGAGCTACGCTCGCCACCACCAATCCTGACCAGGGCTATGTCCCCCCTCCACCATGCCAGCCCCGATCGTGGCTGTGTTTCCTATAGTGCCAGCCCTGGGCGGGGCTGTGCTCCTCACCTCAACAACCTCAGCTGGAGCTTGGCCGCTGGCCGCGCTGCCTCCAACCCCAGCTGGGGATGTGCTCCCTACTGCCAGCCCAGCCTGGTCTGCGCTTCTGAATCTGGCAAGTCAATTCACTGGTCCAGTAATATCTCTGGTCCTACCAGAGCACGGATGTTGCCGGACCAGAGAGTCCCAGATTTTAGAAGTTCAATCCATATTTTGATTTCACTTAAGATCATTGAAAAAAACATAGTTGAATTTATGGGACTTCCCATTAAGAGTTAATTTTCTAAATCCTGGTATATTTGAAATTATTAGTATTTGTCCAGATAATTGTATTCTTTGTTACAGGATTCAAACAACACATAAAAGGTGTAACTGTGATTTATCATTCAAAGCATCCCCTTGATAATAGAATAGCTGCCCCAGGAGGACATTAAAAAGCAACTTTACTAAATGACCATTCTTAAATTATGCAAGTACCATCTGGACTGCTTCATCCTATTGTAAGGGAGGAGGAGTACACACAGTGGCTGCTATTTCAGAAGAGTATTTAATAATACTACTACTAAGGGCCCGTGCTAATAGAATTTTTACCAAATAAAACAAATATTTGATGTGAAAATGAGACATAGGCTGGCCCCTTTCCCAAGAGTTTTACAAGCAAATAAAGAGGGAAGGAGGGAGTTAACCTGAATATATGGTCACAAAAATGGTTGAATCAAAGTGGGATGTTAAATACCATTTTACAAGCTATCCACTTCTTTATGTGGAAGAAGATGCAAGGAAACTTCTTCTCCCCTTTGCATAGCAACCAAACTAGGGCCTGGTTCTCCCTCCCCAGTGCTAGAGTGCACTGCTCGTGGAGCTCAGCTGGCTCAAGAGGAGGGGAAGAACGGGCTGCATCCTGAGAGAGGGGTGGGGAGAGCTCTAATCTGAGATGCAGTGCCCAGACTGGCTGAAATTCCTGCAGGATGCTTGCTATGCATTGCTCCTACATGGCCAGCGTCTTCACTCAGACCCCAACTTGTTTCCCTTGAAATACGTTGACCCTGATCTACATTTGTTTTTTCTGTGGCTCATCAGTGAGCAGCAAATGTTTGTGACCTTTATCCCCTCTTAAGAAGTTGAACTGAATGTGATTGTCTTCCCACCCCATTATGCTTGGGTCCCCCATAAACCTTCTCAAGTGTGCTCAGTTCCACTGGCTTCAAACCTTAATTAATTTCTACATTCTCAAAAGGAAATGAGTAGCTTGAGCAAGGATTTATCTTCCCACATTGTTTCTTTTTGTTATGGTGTTGTTCCATGCTTCGAATAAGCCGAGAATGGTTTCAGCACAGCTACAATCTGTGAAGTTCTTTAACTGTTCTTTGGATAGGTTATTAAAGCTATTGAGGAAGGCTATCGCCTGCCACCCCCAATGGACTGCCCCATCGCTCTCCATCAGCTGATGCTGGATTGCTGGCAGAAGGAACGCAGCGACAGGCCTAAATTTGGACAGATTGTCAACATGCTGGACAAACTCATCCGCAACCCCAACAGCTTGAAGAGGACAGGCACCGAGAACTCCAGGTCAGCTGTGCTTTCCTAATAGTGATCTATGAGGAAATATATTAGAGGTGACAGGCAAGCTGTAACTCACCTAAACTTCTGTGCTCACATTAAGGTTTGCTTCAGAGCGCTTGCTAGGCTGCACAGTCTTTTTTTTAATCCGGGGGGGAGATTGTTTCCTATTGGGGCTACGCTGATGTTCCATCCAACCGCACTGTGGGACCCAAACGCGCCTGGCTCGGTAAAAGCAAAAACTGAATAAGGAAACCTATTGCTCTGCCCTACAAGCTCCAAATATTTTTATAACATGAATTTAAGGGTGGCTTTGGAAAGATCTGGTGCAATCAAGTGACATTTTCCTGACAAAACAAGACATGCTGAGTGTCTTTCTCTCTCTCTCTCTCTTTTTGCAACATAAGATCCTGAAGGGGTCTGGTCACAGTGCGGTGTAACTAGCAGAGTGACCTGGTTTGCTAAAGGGAAAAGTACATCATCAAGTTTTATAAACTGTAGGTAGGATTTGCAAATGAGTGCTATAGCATTACAGCCAAAGCCTTGTGGGCACAGTTGAAGACATGGATTAATTATTATGTGAATTTTGAATTTAATTTTGTAGTAAGACAGTTTCATATCTCTGCTGATCCTGCATTATGTTGCAAAGAAAATTTCAAAGCTGTGAAGAGCTGTGGGGCCAGATATTTTGGTGGTGCAAATCAGCAGAACTCTTGAAATCTATCAATAGAACTTCACCAATAACACTAGTGAATCTTTATGTGAGAGTGTGTTTGTCTGGTTTTAAAGCAAACTTAGTCTGCTTGCAATGAATACTTGGGAGGGTCTGGCGGTAGAAGAAACTTAGTAGAGAAGGAGGGGGGAGGAAAAAAATCCTAAAAATGATCTGATCCCTGAGCAGAAAGGAAATAACATATATATTCTCTGTGCTGCCTGGAATGAGTCTCCCTGTATCAGTGGAGCAATAACAGAGACCAGACAGTTCCTGATTCAGCCGCTGGCAGGCTAGCATAATGGAAAAAGCTGTTTTTCACTTTTAAACGAGTGGATCCCTTGGTGACTATTGCTTACCATTTACATTACCAAAGACAGGTTATTAGCCCTCTGAGGCCACTATCACCACACTTCCTCCAGATTGCCCTAATTGCAGCTGTAGCCTGGCGTGTGTATCCACCTCTGTGGTTTAAATAATTTAAGAAGCAGAGAGTCATAATACCAACTGTTTAATCTCCTCCAACTTGATTTGATTCCAACTCACGGATAACATATGCCTTTGACTACATTTAGTTATTACAATAGTTTACAGCTTCTTGTGTGTCCCTTCTCTCTGCATCCAAATCCCATGTGTAGACTTCTTTTCCTTGGAGCATGAAATCCAAACAAATATTATGTGTATGCCTTTATGTGCTGAGACTGATAATATATAAAGAGATTGCAAATTATTGTGTATGCGTTCCATATAATATGAACAAGTACCCAACAGACTGCAGGTAAAGTATGGTAAAAGTCGTGTAAATGCTACCAATGTGAACTCAATCCCGCTGGACAATATAGACCAGTACACCTCAGCTTTGATGCTGTGCATTTCAAAATAAATGATCAAGATGGCATGTGCTTTGTTTAGATATATGGGAGTAATTTACACTGGCCCAATGCAAATCACTTGTTTTCAAAATATATAAAATAATAACTGAGCTATTAAAGGGCACTGAATTTGTTTAAAAAAAATTTCAGAATCTCTGCAAAGGAAAATAAGAAGCACGTTCCACGGAGCAAAAAAAGATCAAAGCTCCCATTAGTCCCACCAGCCCTTGCACACGTGTTGGTCAGGAATGGATTGATTAAAGAGGGGATTAATTCCCTGCTGTCCTGAGTTTGTTTGAACACACTGAACCTACTTGCAAACCTGGCTAGAAATATGCCTAATCTGACTTCTCCCTGAGGTTTGAGCTCTAATCCCATCAGGCATCTTCTGCTCTGACTGCTGTAATGTTTCTAGAATTAGTGAACACATGCAGGATCCACAAGTGCTTGAATTGTTGTATGTGGGATACAGACACAATAGCGTGAACATATTGAGCATCCAAGACCTCATCCTTTTCTGAGCACATGGCAATAAAAGTGTTTTCCATGAACTCTTCCATGTATCTGGGGCTGAAATGATAAAGGGCACAAGGATTTGATTTTCAGCTGACAGGAACCATAGACACCTGAGATCAAATTCATTCTTAGGACAAATGGGCCTTTTCTTATTTGTTTGCTACATTTGCCATTAGTTACATTTTATAGAGCTTGAGCCCCAGTTTCCCCTAATTACATGCAACCAGCTAATTGTATTTGAACTAATCACCTGTTTAGTTTAGTCACTGAGCTCACCATAGAGCCTAAGTTTTATTTTGTTAACCAGCTAATATCTGCCTGTGCATTTTCTGTTGCTAGACCAAATACTGCCCTGTTGGATCCGAGTTCTCCAGAATTCTCAGCTGTCGTTTCTGTTGGGGATTGGCTTCAGGCTATTAAAATGGATCGATATAAGGATAACTTCACAGCTGCTGGCTATACAACCCTAGAGGCTGTGGTGCATATGAACCAGGAGTAAGTACTCAACGTATAACAAAAACTGGTAAATCTGGATTTAATCGGCTTCTTTTGCTTTGTGCTGCATATCATTACACTCATTAAAAGAATGGAATGCCTTTCATTTGGATAGAGTGGAACTTAGAAATGCCTCTGCAGTGCCTTCAGTTATTTAATTAAACATTTCTATACATCTGCCTTGCTTTCGCAGTATTACATGTGGTTGATTGTCATAATATTGCTTTGCGTCAGCATTTAACACAAAGTTCTCAGCCCTCTGCTTCTTCTCTTGTTTTATTTAGTGATCTGACGAGAATTGGGATTACCACCATTGCACACCAGAACAAGATTTTGGGCAACGTCCAGGCAATGCGGACCCAAATGCAACAGATGCACGGCAGAATGGTTCCTGTCTGAGCCAGTACTGAATAAACTCAAACTCTTGAAATTAGTTTACCTCATCCATGCACTTTAATTGAAGAACTGCACTTTTTTTTACTTCGTCTCCTTGCCCTTTGAAATAAATATCTGCAGCATTGCTTGATGTACAGATTGCTAAAACTCTGGGGGCAGGGGCTACCAAAATGACAAGCCGTCATTTAAACCAGACCTGGAACAAATTGTTTCTTGGAATATACTTCTGTTGATCAACAATATGTAAAATACATGTATCTATATAAATATAACATCACATGCAAGTTTTGATGCTGTGTTTGCTGCCAGATACTGTGCTTAAAATAATTACTCTTCCTTCTCCCATGACCTGGGATTACAACCATAGTATTTTATTTGTGAAATAAACCACGGTTGTGCATCGTTCACTGGAACCAAGGACATTTTCTGCAGACCCAACGTGTCACTGAAACCATGCAGAAGCCTCAGTGAGAATATTGTTTGTTTGATCAGTGCCTCTGAATCAGTGATTTACCCATCTACAGGATGTGATTGGGAATGACCCATCTTGAGGATTACTGGACAAAACTGGACTTCCGGGGGGTTGTTATTGGCTGTTGTTGTGCCATACTGAGCTGTAAGTCTGTAAACCTTTTGCGGACATCTTACTGACAGTCAGCTCTGACAATCTTGACTGTGAAACTTCCAGACTCACATCCCTTTCCCCTTTCAAGGAGCAATCACTGTTGAAATACTGAAAAGGTCAGTAGAAGGACAGCCTCCCTTCTATACCTAGTGGGGATTTTTTAAGCTACATAGTCATCTGTAAATATGACAGGGAAGAAAACTTGTGTAGAATTGTGGTTCCCGACTATTTTGGATAAACCTGTGCTAGTCTGCCAGACTAAGAGCTCAGCTGTTCCTCCTTCATCACACTCAGGTGCATGCACTCTTCACTGACAGTGGAAATTGGGTTGTTCCAAACATTTGTCTTGCTTGCAGGCTCAGTTGTGGGTTGGAATGTGTACAGCCTCTCCCCGAGTTACGAACGAGTTATGGACCATACTTGGCCGTAACTCAATCTGTTCGTAACTCGGACCCCATTGAGTTACACGCGACCGCGCTGTTCGTAAGCACGGATCACGTTCGTAACTTGGGGACCGCCTTACGACCACTCCATGGGAGTTTTGGTTGTAAGTGCAAACGGTCGTAACTCGACTGTTCGCAACTCGGGGAGCAGCTGTATAGATGACGGGAAATAGATGGTGTTGGGGCACAGTTCATCATGAAGAGCTTGACCCTGTTGGACTTTTCTGTAGGAGCAGGAAAACAGGGAAATAGGCATTCACAACTAAAAACAGCAGTATGTACCAGTGGCAGGGAATCACTCCTTGGATTTCCCTCTGTCTTTGGAAAGACGATATGCCCCACTTAGGTAGAACAGTAAAAGTGAGATCTCTGACATTTTTTTAGACTTCAATTCAGTTTCTGCTGTCACATTTGTGATGTTATGTGACCAAGAATTGAGAGAAATGGAATTATACTTGCATTTTCCATTTGCACATGTGAGCTAGTGCAACACATCGGGCAAAAATTTTACTTTAGGATATCTCTGCACTGAATTTTTGTTTGATCACATGGGTTTCAGTTTGGTTAGATCAAGAGCACTCCAGACAGATTTGGGCTTTTCTTTGTACTAAATTCACTTTACACCATTCTGTCAGTGTACAGAGGCCTTACGTTGGGCATAAATTACACACATACTTCCTTGTAAGGCCCCTTTGCAGTGCCAGATATATCAATTTATGCCCAATGTAAGGCCTCTGTCCACTGACAGAATACACTGACAGAATGGTGTAAAGGGAATTTAGTACAAGATTCATTTGTGGTTTGATATGGAGGTGTAGAGAATAGGGCTTCTTTGCCTCTGAGCATTGATTTGCAATGTTTAGCTATTGTATTTTGTGAGTAACAAACATTCTTAAAAATGGTGAGCTCTTTCACATCATCCTGCTTTGATCTCCTTCTACACCTGCAGCTTCAAAAAAACAAATGAGCCCGATATGTTGAAGTTTAAATTCACTGCATTTATTCTGAATCTAAAATGGCTGACTTGAGTGGAAAAAATCGGTTTGCCATATCAGCAAAGTCATTCTCATCATTTTTTGGCATTGGTACAGTAACTTGGATTTATACCACTAAATCCCCCTCCTCCCACGTGTCTTAGGTAATTTTGAAAGCAAGTTGTTCAGAATGTGGGATCCTAAATTTGGGACCTGTAAAGTCATGACAATTAGTAAAAACCTTTTTGCAATATTATTCATAAGACCTTTTCTGTTTGGGAGGAATTTGAGATTTTTTGTATAAACTATTTAGACCACCCTTTTTCAACACCATATCGCTGGAGATTCATTTTAGTGATCTGACAATTGTACTTTGAAAGCAAATACCCTTTGTTCAGTTCAGAGACACTGTAGCTTCCCCCTGCTAGAAATCTGTTACAAAAAGTCAAGGTTGTCTTTTAAATAAAAGCAAAACGTACTCAATTCTCTTGATAATTTGCAGAACTATTGCTGCTAGATGCCAACTGCACAGGATCAGCTGATTTTAATGATTTTTTTATGAGAAAATTGTGAAGGCCATTCAGAAGCACAATTTTCAGTGTTGCTTCTGTAACTTCAACTGTGATCAAATGAGGGTGGTAGGCAAGAACATGAACATGTTTTTAACTGGTGGAAAGCAGAAGAAAAACATAATTTAAAGTACTTCCATGGCATGTATTCATGCTATTGATAGATCCATTTTGTGTGTGCATAAAGCTGAAGGGGTAGTAGAAAGGGAACTTACATGGAAAATGATGTTTTTCTTCATTAAAATAATGTCAGTTACCTTTATCCCACTGATCGGAAGTGAAGCAATGAGAACAGTGGCAGTGCTACATAGCTTACTGTTCTAGACATTTTTCCTTTTTTTTTCTTTCCCTTCAATGAATGATGTTTCCACTAAGGACTATGCATTAAGAAACACCAGGGTGTCAATTGTACTGTAAGGGGAATGAAAATTTCTGAGCAAAAAGCATTAGAAAAGAAGTTCTCTTCACTATGTTGACGGGATAAGTCCAGGATCTTTTGGCTGGGGTTTGTTTCTTTTTGCATGTGAGTGCTTTTATTTGCATACACAAGAGCACACATTGATCTTCGTACTGCTCATTGACTGGCTAAATAGCCAACTAGACGTTCTTGAACTCCTAGGGAAATTCTGCATATATACATGTGACTCTTACTTTCCTTCCATCAGACAAAACCCACTTTGGCTTATTGAGAAGTCATTTTCCACACCCACTGGGAGCATTTTTAATTTCATTAGCCTACTCATGTTACCCAGTTTTGTTGCCTGCAAGTTAAATCTAGGATTCACCATTCAACACAGTAAGCAATCTTCACCAGAATACACCTTTGTTAGCCACTGTGGATTGGAAGAATAACATAATGGGTCAGAGCTATAAGCAAGAGCAGTGTTGATCCACTGTACCCTTACTGCTGAAATGTGTGCACACAGACGCACAAAACTGGCCCGGGTTTGGTGTGTGTCGGTCTCTGTTCCCCTGCTGATCTCTCTGTGGGAATTGTTCCTTCGATTCCTTTTGGAGATCCTCTATTGTTCACACGGTTGTGGTAATTAACTCTGCTGCTCCTGGAAGACATAATGACATCCGTTTGTGTAACAGAAGGCACTATGAGTGTTTGGATTTCACTAGTATCATTTCTGAGCAGTGCACCTAGAACACAGTTAATTGGAAATCCTGCACCTTATGAACACTTTCCTTCCTCAGTTATTTATTTAAATTTAATGAGCCAGAATATTGTCTTCACACTTACATACAGGTAATAACCCAATTTAAAAAGTTGAGCCAGTTGTGTCCTTGTGCAAACCAGCCAACACCCAGACCTGCTTATTGGTGCAGAGAACCTCAGTACTCGTGTAAAATGCAATGGCAACTTTGTTAGGAAATCCAAGTGGCTGCTGTTGTAGCTGCATTTGTCCAGTTGTTTGTCTTGGTCTAATGTCGTCTTGTTTCCTTTTTTCAGGGAAAATACATTCTGCTTCCTTGGCCTCACAGCCTTTCCTATTGATCATATTGACCATGGGAGAACAAAAGACCAGACATGAAGCCTTCCAGATTCCACAAGCCCTGCTTCACAAGCACTGATTCTGGGGAACACAGACAACTCAGTAAGCAGAATCAGTCCCTGAAGAGTGGGGGTTTTTAGTTTCCCTTTTTTGCATTGAAACAAAGCAGAGACCGTAAGGTTCGATATCTGTTCTCCAGTTGTCCTTTGAGGAATGTACTGTATCAAAGCCCTTCAGACTTCTGGGATTTTCCCCCTGCCTCTTCCTCCTTATGGTTTTATTTATACATTTTGATTCCACCACCCCCGCGTGTCACTGGTGCATCTTGTTTGAATGCAAGTGACAGAGCACGACTGGTATTACCTTGGACTCCCAAGTCAGATGCCGCGACAGAACCCAGTTCACATGAGCTGCCTAAATACATTGCTGAAGTGACATTTTACACAGAATGTGCCCTCGCAGTAATATAAATATATATTTTTTTTCTAAAATGAAGAACGGACTTCTTCTCTCTTCCAAATGAGTGTGTGTGTGCATTTGTGTGTGTCTGCGTCACTGCATGTGTAGAACTGCCTGTGAATGTTCCGAAAAGCATCTTTGGGAGCATTGGCTTCCATGCGTTTGCTAGTTGAAGAGTTACACAAGAAAGCAGGCCAGTAGATGGATGTCTGCAACAGTAGCAAGAAAACACACACACACACAAGTTTAAATTTCTGTATCTGTAAATGTGTTTTGTAGCTGTCACACTAACCTTAACAACTGGTTCTGCAGCCTAGAACAGGGGCACTATCATCTAAGTTGTGGAGTGATGAATAATAAGATCCATAATGGTGATAAAGCTTTCCATCAATATCACTTATTCTTATCAAGACCTGTCCATGATAAAAAACACCATCTTGATGAAAAGGTGATGGGCAACAGTGCTCATATCCATCCACTGATAACCCTGAACTGAACTCTTACGGAGCCTTTTTTATCTGCAAAAATAAGATTTTAAAGACTTGTTGAATGCAAACAAATATATGCAATTCTTATGCATTCACAGAAGCACACTGCTCAGTGTGCCAGCTGTGAGAACGTGTGTCCTGTAGCTGACCGTCCAATATTTCATTTTCTCCCAGAAACAGTTAAGGATATTAAATTGCAAGAGACTTTTAAGATTACAGTTAACAAACAGGTTGCAAATGTTTGTCATGTTCCTAGTCTCCATAGCCAAAGGATATGTGAATTAATGAATGAGAGAGAAAACAACGAGTCCTATGGCAACTTAAAGACTAACACGTTTTTTGGGCATAAGCTTTTGTGGACTGGAACCAAGTGTTAATCTTTAAGGTGCCGCAGGACTCCTCGTTATTTTTGCTGAAACAGACTAGCACAGCTACCCCTCTGAAATGTATTAATTTAAAAGGTCATTTCTGTGAGCTAAAGGCCAGTGCAAACAACCTACCTGTACTACCCAGAAAAGTTGACAGTGCGAAGTATTCACTGTTTATTTACTGTAAACTATTCTTAGAGCGGAGCTGTATGCTAGAGTCTGGGGCATGTGCCACATTCTGAATTCAGCAATAGATGTGCTCAACTTTCTTTCTGGTTGCAGAGGACTGATGTCTATTGAGTAGCATGGTGCAGCACAGCAAGCTAGAACCAGAGAAGCAATCAGTCAAATACACATTGGAAAACCCAAGAAAAATTATGGCTGTTGCCACATACAAAAAGCATGTCACATTGAATGGAGTGTCTCAAAGTTACTTCTATTTCCTTCTCTTCTGGTCCTTTTATTTTCATTATTAAAATACCGCTGCCAGCTCTGATTAACCAGAAATTAAAGATCTCTGTAGCTGGGGGAAACGGGGTGGGGATGTTCATGTCGTTGTGCCGGAGGCAGAAACCAATCAACACTATCAAGGACAGTTAGGGAGCGGAATTGTGCATTGCAGACCCAGCGCATCCAAATTGCAGTCAAATGTTCTAAACAGAGTGTGGGTTTAAAAAATGAACAAGTTACTACAGACTTTGCTTCCATCTTCTCCCCCTTACAGAAGACATCGTCAACAGGTCTCTCTAGCATGGCAAGCCTTTGTTTGTTCGAAATTGTTCTGCTCACCACACCACTGGTTGATGTTTGTCCAGGTTTCTTGCTGTACTAATTTTGTGATGGATTTGTGTATTTTAAAAATGTATTTAAAAAAAAAGGCTGGTACTTAACTAGTAAACAGGACCTAAAAAGCAGTATTTTTCATTTGTGACATTTTCATAACCAGAAAAATATCCTGAATACTAATCAAAGAAATGAAGAGAGTGCATTTATTTTTTTGTATCACTGCAAGTATGTTGGAATATGCAAGGACTGTGGTCAAAGGTAGAATGTATGAGGCATATTATAATTTAGTTCATACCGAGAAAAAGATTCTAACAGCATTTCTTGTTTCATAACTTTGAGCAGTCTCTGGGTTAGACATAGATTTTCTATTTTGTTTTAATTTGTAATTCCCCCTCCCCTCCATGAATTTTAGGTACACATAACTTATGTCATTTATTTATGGTCTTTTATACCTAGTTTGTAAAATTGTAAAATAGCAAACAATGCAAAAGTTGCATTTGAAAATAATAAAGTAGTTGCTGTACAAACTTCATACAGCTATTTGTTAATTATTGCTACTATGTATGATTGATCATTTGGTGTGGGGACATTGACCATGGCACCATGCAAGCTTTCAGTCCATCCCCTTGTAATGGACACTCTGCTCTGGTGTTACATTTTCAGGATGAGTGGCTCCAAAAGTGTGTGCTTGAAGACATGTAGCAGAAGTGGCTGTGAGAGAAAGTAACAAGAGACAGTGAAGTAAAGGATGGGAAAACAGATAAAAAGGAGGGAACAAGGAACGTTGGATACTGAATGTATTGGAGAAGGCGAGTAGTAATGAACGGGCGGGGGGAGGAGAAGCACACAAGCATCATAGCAGGATGTATTAGCGGGAGCGTTGTAAGCTAGACATGAGAAGTAATTATTCCTCACTACTCCACAGTGATTAGACTTCAACTGGAGTATAGTGTCTAGTTCCGGGCACAACATTTCAGGAACGATACGGACAAATTGAAAAAAGTCTAGAGAAGAAGAACAAAAATGTTTAAAGATCTAGAAAACATAACCCATGAGGGAAGGTTGAAATAATTGGATTTGTTTAGTCTGGAAAAGAAGATTGAGAGGGGACGTAACAGTTTTCAAGTAACTAAAAGGTTGTTATGAGGAAGGAGGAAAAATTGTTCTCCTTAACTCCTGACGATAGGACAAGAAGCAATGAATTTTAATTTCAGCAAGAAAGGTGTAAGTTGGACATCGGGAAAAACTTCCTGTCAGGGTGGTTAAGCACTGGAATAAATTGCCTAGAGAGGTTATGGAATCTCCATCACTGGAGATTTTTAAGAGCAGTCTAGACAGTCACCTGTTAGGGATCATCTAAATGGTGCTTGATCCTGCCATGAATACGGAGGACTGGACTAAACCTCCCAAATCTGGGAATGCAATTGTATGAGGAAGTTGCTTGTGGTGGCGGAGATGTGAGGATGCTCAAAAGCCATGGAGCTTATTTCTGGTTTATGTCTTACAACCCTGAAAGTTCATGCTTCAATGTTTCAGTTACTGACCTTTAAGGATCAGGAAGGGATTCCCTCCCCACAAGTATTAAGGTTTTCTTTCATCTTCTTCCTCTGAAGCATGAGGAAAGGACACAAGTAGAGATGGGATACAGAAGGGGAAGGGGAAGGGCTCTGAGATGACAGCATTTTCCGTCTCAGGTGTTTGGCACATGCTCAGGTGCTAAATAATCACTATATATGGGGTCAGGAAGTAATTTTCCCTGTTGGTCAGATTGGCGCTGAGCAGATGGGGAAGGGGGCATTGAACATGGGTCAATTGTTAGGATTACCTGGGTGTGTGCCTCATTTCATTTCCCTTAAACTGGTGCACCTCAATCCTTCTTATTATCTGACTCAGGCATGTGATGGTTTAGTTTACTGGGGCTGGTTGATGATATTGGGGGACTGGCAATGTATAGGTGGTCAGACAAGATGACTGTCCCCTTCTGGCTGTCTATGACCTGAAAGGGCAGAGGAAGCACAGGTGGTGACATCACAGAGAAGGAAGGGGGACAGTTTGGTTAAAAATCACACAGAGAAAAAAAATAATGGAAAAAATTGGACCATTGTCTTGCATGCTGCAATTCCAGGTGCAGTAGAAATTGTGAAGCACAGAGGAACCTATCCTCTTGCATTGGGATGCACCACACCCTTTTGCCAATATGGCTCCCACACCACTTGCCAAACCAGGCTTCTTATATGAGAGAACAGGTCCCTGTTCCCCAGCCTCCTATACCCCCCTATCTGCTACATCCCACATCCCCAAGGCCCTAATCCTTGCCAGGTAAGTCTGCTAGTGTTTTTATAACTGGTATGTCAAACATTTCCTACCTGACTCATCACTATTTCTTACATGAAGGCTACTTCTGGCACACTGCACTGGATGTTTGAAAGATGTAGACAAACACACCAAACTTCTTTATCACCTTGTTTGAATAGGTTTTTGATTAGTCAAAAGACTAGTGCCAATAAATCAGCTACAAGCCCCATCACTAACACAGGAAACACTGAAGTAGGTCTCAAAGTATAATTCACAGAGATTTGTTTTAACTATATTTGTATGTAAATAGAAGTAAAGCCCGTGTAACAATGAAGTCTTCTGCAACAGAAGGTCTCAAACCCCCATAAAGTGTATTCATAGGGTTCCAATAGGAGGTGTGCTAAGACTACTGTTGCATTCTTCTGGAAATAGATTTGAGTGGTATTGTCTCTTTTTCCATTATTGAAAAATGAATATAGACTGAAAAGAGCCATGTGTTTAATTCTTTGGAATTCTACTATGTGAGGGTAAAGTATCCCACATTCAGGCAAATGCAACCAAGCATTGCTGAAATGTACAGTGGTGTAGTCTATGTATCAAGATTGGAATACACAGACTTTCTGGAACCACGTTACAATCCCATCAGTATTCACTTAATCATCCTGGGTACAGAGGTTAAATATTATATGCAATTCATACACACAAAGGAGGAGGCCCGTCTGAAAAGTTACTCTTCATGATTTATTTAGCTTCTGACTCATCCATTTGGAAAATATATTGTGAAAATGCATCCTGGCTGAAACTCTGCTGCTGTGAGTGGAATCACACCATAGATGAATTGGTCCCAATATGTTAAGCTTTTGATACAGTAAACTGTTGGGTTATGTCTACATTGGCAAGATTTTGAGCAAATATTTTTAACGCAAGAGTTTTTGCGTTAAAGTATTTGTGCAAGAGAGCGTCTACACTGGCATGTGCTTTTGCACAAGTGATGTGCTTTTGCGCAAGAGCATCAGTGCCAGTGTAGACGCTCTCTTGTGCAAGAAATCTCCAATGGCCAATTTCAGCCATCTGGCTTTCTTGCGCAAGAAATTCGCATTGTCTGTCTACACTGGCCTCTTGCGCAAGAACAGTTGCACAAGAGGGCTTATTCCTGAGCGGGAGCATCATAGTTCTTGCGCAAGAAGCACTGATTTCACACATCAGAACGTCAGTGTTCTTGCGCAAGAACTCCCCACCAGTGTAGACAGGCAGCATGTTTTTGCGCAAAAGCAAATGCTTTTGCACAAAATCATGCCAATGTAGACACAGCCTTGACGTTTGTACCATTTTTACTTGGGAAGAAATACCAAGCAACGGGATGCTCCTAGCATTTACACATAGAAAGCTGACTGGAAGACAGCAATTTCTTACTGGGAAAACTTTACAGGTTTTGAAATTTGTATTTAATCTGCATTGAAATGAAAGCAAAAACTTTGAAGAATTTGAAAACTATTCTGAACCAGAATTGTGTGAAAACATAATTTTTTCCATCTAATAGGCCAGGTTTTCACTCTGGAAGTCCACCCTGTACCTAAGCAATTGTGCCACGAACACGTATATGTTTGCATAAAATGTTTCCATTTCAACCAAGCTCCGTTCTTTTGGGAAGGGAGAGAAACCATAAAAATCTGTGCCTCTCTCATAAAAACATTGCAGTAGGAGGACAATAAAATAGATGAAAGAGCATAAGCTACTGTTATACCTAAAACGTGTGTTTGTGTCCCTTACCTGGAACGAAAGCAGCTTGCTCCACGGGGACTGTTTTTAGTATCATAGTGTAAGAAAAAAGATATTTTCAAATGCTGGGACCCATTGTCATGTCAAAATACATTTTGCCTTTTTTTTTTTTTTTTTTTTACAGTTACAAAAAAAAGTTCATGCTACTCTTTAAGTCAACAACATGATTAAAGCTATAGCTGCATTTGAGGCCTTGATCTTAATTATTTTACCCTTTCCCTTTTAAGGAAGTATCCTTGGGCTACTGACTGATTCTCTGTTGAATGGGTAATAGACCTCTGACATATCTTATTTCTGGCAGTGGCCTTAAACATAATTCTTGGTTTACAGCAGCCTCACAGAAAGTTAGAAGTTTGCCTAAAATGTAAATTAAAATCTAAAGCATTCCATTCCAATCAACTTAGTAAAGCATATATTTTACATGCACAGATGAAGAAAGTAGCCACAGGACTACTTAGTAACTTGTTTCAATATATATGAATAAAGCAAGTATTATATACATAATAGATAAGGGCCAATTATATCCCTATAATCTTCTGTGGTTTACTAGCTTGAAACCAGACCAATACAGTAATGAGACCCATGTTTTTCATAAGTGTTTAGTTACTTATTTAGGATTCTGTTCCATAAAAGGCACCATAAAATGGTTCAAACTGCTCCAGACACATCAAAGCCAAAGTTCTGCCTTCAACTTCTGAATATTTTCTGTCAAAAGTTGATTGACAAAACAACATTGGGACTCATTCTCACTTTACTTCCAGCATCTAACTCAACTCAATGATCAGTGAGACATTGTCAATGGGGAATCAATGGACATTAGGCTCTAGGTACTTTTTAAACATCCCTTGGCACTTATCTGCATTTCTAGGTACATAAATACATTGAAAAATCTGGTCCCCAGAGAACAGATTAGCAATGAAGCTATTCATTGGAATAGAAAATGATTGTGCTTTAGTGATGGAGAAGCACTGAAGTATTAAAAACTAAGTGGCAATTACAAGGCTATACATCTGGTTCCGTCTTTTCATGTCATAAACTACTCAGATTTTGCCTGTTAGATTGTTGCACCTTTAGAACCACTTGGTGTGCTAATTGCCTTATTATCATGTGCCAAAAGATTCTGCTGCATTCCGGACGTTATGTTACAAGGACACATCTCTCCCTGAAAGTTTGTTTCAATACCATTTTCCTTTTTTAATGTGTCTTGAAGTCAATTTGGTTGTAAGAATCTAAATTCATGGTAGAATTTAGACTAAGATATTTTTGCTGTTTGTGTAGGATGATAAGTTGGTTGAAATTTTTTTAACATTTTCAAAAATGCTGTTTTTTCAAAGCAGAAATACTTCATGGAATAGTTTGATTTTGACAACAGTTTTAACAGGGCAGTTTTTTAGGCCCAAGATTGATTTTCAGGAGATAAATGGTTTAGAAAATGTTTCTTAATTGACTTAATTTCAT